AGAGAAACCAAGAATGAAGTTAGATCTCTTCCACCTGGAAGGAATCATCATGAGGTAGGGAAAAGCACCTTCTGTTTTCTCACTGTTTTGAAATTAATGGAAATAATAATAATAGTAATGATAATAATAAGGACAGAAGTTTACAAGATTTTTATTCTGCTCAGTTTCTGGGAGTAATACCCGTTCTCATTTAATCTTCACAACTCACTGAGTTTTGTGGTTGTTGTTGTGATTTCTCTGCAACAGATAAGAAAACCAAGACAGAAAGGTTGTGTAACGTGCCCAAGGACACACAGCTAGGAAATGGTAGAGCTACCATCCACAGATAGCTTTTTCCAACTCTGGGCCCTGAATTATGCTCTAGACTCTGCTCTATTTGCTGAGAGAATAAATGAATTGAACAAGTTACTAAATGAATCAATGAAGTGAGATTGACAAAGTAGGTCTGGAAGTCTGGCTGGCATGGGGAGTCTGTGTGCAGTGCTGCTAGGTTTGGCAGTCTGCGTCTTCTCTCTCCTAGTTCAGGGGCTGGCCCTGAGGACCTACCACTGGAATGTTCTGTCCTGCCAGGCTATGCCCAGGAGAGTCCCAGTAGGTAAATCCTGCAGCTGGTCTTGCTGTCCTAGGAACCCAATGTCAGGGTGTGCAGGTGACTAGAACCCTAGGTACCTCCCCGTCCTCTTGGCCACAACCATCTTTTCTCTTGGTTTCTGACTTACATTCTAGAAGGGTAGTAGCCTCTAGAACAACGGACCAGAGAAATACATAGATATGGCTGAGCTAGAAATCTGACTCATGGATTAGAGCGGGTCTTCTTCCTTCTCTGTGTGGAAGTGTCCCAGCCTCCTGTGCACCTGGCCACCACATTGCTAAGCATCCTTCTCACCACTGGGCATTAAACAAAAAAGAGCCCTGAGACTTCATTTTCCCTTACTGTTGGCAATGTGCAATTTCTTTTGTGTCTTTGGAGTAGTATGGCTACTGTCCTTCTCAGGGCGTCCTTTCTCCAGGGGTGATCCAGTCGCTTCTTTAGGCTTCTGCTTCATTCTTGTCCCTGTGGCCACCTGGGCTTCTTCAGTCTTCCTCCCACCCACCCCTGCCTTGACTTCTGTGATCTTAATCTTTTCCTTTGGAAACTCTTGTCACTTGTACTTCTTCCTAGTTTCCTTCCTCCACCTCAGCCTTTCTCCCAGGCCCCTTTCACCTCAGCTTTCTTTTCGAAGATGTTACATTTCTTTTTCTCCTTATTTGGTCTGACATGACCTGACAGGGTGAATGAATTAGCATGATGGGAATAGAAATATGTACTAGGTCTCCACAGGCTTTTCTTTCTTTTTGTAATTGCCAGAAAGAGACAGCGAAATAGAGAGGGAGAAAGTACCTCCCAACGAGGCATGGTCACACTGCAATCCCTTCTTCATTTCTCCCCCGTCCGGGCTTCTGGGTATGCCCAAGCACGTGCCCAGAGCACTTTTCAAGCTGCCAGAGCCAGGTTTCAAACCTTAGTCAGATGGGTGGGATTGACTTCCTTAACTACGAGGTTATGGGAATGGCCTTGTTTTATTTGCTTTCTGTTTTTGAATGTTGCATTTGCAATCAATTTACAGAGTTTAACTGAAAATTTGAGACTTTACAGCTTAAAAATCAACTTTCCCAAATAAAAGTTTATTGGTGCCTTTTTTCCCATTATTGTCCAGGTTTGTATACACCCCTATGCTTAGCAACTTTTTGGGGCGGGGTGGGGGCCGCTTCCCGAGAGAGCCTATCTGTGTGTTCCACTTCTGCTTATGAGTCTTAGGAAAACTGACTCGATGGAGCATCAAGAATGTGCTGTGCTTTTGTCCTCTTTAGGATTCTTAGAAAAGTGAGAACAAAATAAAATATTTTCGATGGTGCTCCAAGTGGGGATGAGACCAAGATGGTGTCAGGCCAAGGAACCATGTGTATTTGAGCTCTTTCAGGAGAGGTCTTTATGGAAATAAATGTCCACAGAACAGCACAAGACAAAGCAATCTTGAATTATTAGCTGAGGCTCAAACAACAAACCTGACTGTAGAACCTCAGTAGATCCAGGCTCCATCACATGGAGATTTCCTTTTCTTAAGCTAAGGAGCCCTGAGAAGTCTGGTGAGAATACTATAGATGCCCCCACCCTGGTCTCATTACCAGGCTGGTTCAGCCATCTCCAGCTTCTCTGGATGCTGCCTTCTAAGGACTCAGAGCTGCCCCCTCTCTCTAGATATCTGCCTTACCCTACAAGAATCACTTCACTGGGGAGAACACACATAGCCCCCTCTCCCCAGCTGTCCCCTGCAGCTGCATCCAATGACTACGCAATAGGGAATACAAAGGGCATCCCTTGTTTCGAAGTGAGACCAGCTCTGTGGTATAATCAGAGCTCCCTGTGGAGTTAGTTAGACCCTGGCTGACACTCTATCTTGACTTAGCACCTCTCCTTCTTATCCTGCTTTTCTCACTTCCTCAGTAAGTCTGCATACCCAAATCCTTGCCTCAGACCCTGATTCCAGGGAACCAGCTCTAAAACAGACTCCAAAGTCAAGTCAGCCCAAAGATCTGCCCCATTACTGCCCAAACCTGAATTCTGGGTCTGATGTGTGAGGAAAAATCACACGCATTGAGAAAAGCAGGAGAAACTGTCGCAGTGGGCACTTTCCCAGAGCTGCAGTGGTCTAGAATATTTGACCCAGGCTTGCTGAAGCTGTCATAGTGGAGAAGTTATGGACCATGCAGCTACTCATTGGCAGGGCCAAGAAAGAAAGTATAGCAAAATGGAATGGAGGTGTCAAGGAAGACTTCCCCTTCTCTGAGGGGAAGTAGACTCCATTTTCCTAGGAAGAAGCAACAGCTGAGAGATAGAGGAACATGTGCCTTAGGTTCTTGCAATTATGACGCCAAGACATATGCAGATGAGATCCTACTGTGTGCTGCTGACCTCAGGCATGCCCAGCGAAAGCACCAACCCATCTGTCACAAGCATATCTTCCCTTTGCAGGTAGCACAGGGGTGGAAGAGAAGGACCTGAGTCCTAACCTGAGATGTGTTAGGAGATGGATAGAGAAAAGGTGAAGAGAAGAAGAGCTCTCTTTCCAGAGGCCTACATCAACCCACGTGAACCTCTCTACTTCAGTTTACCTGTTGGACTTCAAATGCTTCCACCCCTCCTCTCTGGGAAGTCTTATCCCACAGTCACCTTTTGCTGTTCTCAGCTCCTCTGCCACTTCCTTTCCTGGCCCAGCTTCTTGTCGTGCATTCAACAAACGTTTACCGAGTGAGTACAAGGTAGCACACAGGGCTTTTAAGAGATTCATTGGTGAATAGCTGCCCTCATTCATTGCTGATGGGAAAACATGTACGATAAGCATGCAAACAACTAAATAAGATTGATTCAGCCAGTGGGACCTGCTATGAAGGAAATAAAGCTAGAAGGTTGATGTACCTATTATGCTAGTACTTGTTTTTGCTGTGAGCCTTGTCTGTCCTGTGGCATTGCAAGTGCTTTGAGGGCCCATACCTCAGCCGACAGCTCTCTGCTTCCTCCAGGGAGCCTGATTCAGTGCCTCAGCCATCACAAAAAGTCAGGACAACCATCTGATTTCTAGGCAGTGATTACACTAAAACTTTTCAACTTTGGGCCAGCCTTGGGTTTCGATCTTTTTCCCCCTTGGACTTCACTGATCTGTGAATAAAGTGGCTGTGGTCTCCAAGGGTCTGTATTAGAGTTTTCTGCAACTTGCTGGGGTGTGACCCACAGAGAGTCTTGACTTTCAAAGTCTCATATCCTTCTGTGAAAGGCAGGGAAAGTGAGAAAGCTCACTTTGCAGAGTTTTGGAGGATATAATGAGAGGATCCGTCTTTCATAACAGGAGGACAATGAGGCACATCTTCACTAGCACTGAAGGTGTTACCAGCCTCAGAGGATTCAAAAGGAATGTGGAACCTCAGGCTCTGCCAGTCCAGTTAGCTCCAGGGAAGTCTTGGCCGTAGGTTTTGGGCTTGGTTGAAGTCCTGAGCCCAGGTTTGCAGGAGCCAGCAGAAGCAAATGGCAAGAGGAAGGTTCTCTCCCTGAACTTCCTGCTGCCACAGAGTGGGGATTCATCTTTTCTGTCCTCAAACGGATGCCCTCCTGATGTCCCTATTTCCCTCCTTCCTTAGGCTTGAAATTCCAGGCTCACCTTTGTTTTTCCTTTTCTTATCCCATCGTTTATACAGAAGCCAGTCTCCCCTACCCTGCATTTTGTTTCCTCTGCTCTTGCTTAGCCTCCGGTCTCAGATCCTCACTTCACATATTCAAGTGGTTGGTGATCTTTCTCACTAGTGTCTCTAACTCCTGATTATCCTCCTTATAATGCACCTGTCATACTCAGAGATCTTGCTTCCAGAAAGAGCAATAGTTGGCACCCTTCATGCCAGCATTTGGAGCTCTCTGCCACAGGACCCAACCTACTGCTGCCCCTTCCTTCCTCAGGACCGCAGCCAGCCTCACCCACACTCTGATCCCTGACTGCACCCACCTCTTGCCTCTGAGCTTTTGGTGTTGCTGTTCTGCTGTTGGGATGCCATGTTTGTGCTGCTCTTCAAGGCCTGGTTCAGAAGTGGCCCCTGATGCCGCTGGTGGGAACTTGCTCTCACCTCTGCATATTTGTACCTCTCATTTTATACCTTTCATATAACTTTTTTCAAATAATTATTTTTATTTAACTTTATGTGTTATTATTATAATTATTTTCCAGTTTGATCAGACACAGAGAGGGAGGGGAAGTGAGAAAGCAAACCACCAGGTCCAGGACTTGAACCATGGTCGGCCATGTAGAAGTTCAGTACTTTTAACCACCACATCACCTGCTGATCCCTCATATGATTCTTACATTCTACTTGGAGTTCTAAGGATTGCTGTGCTTTTATGATGCTAATAGAAAAATGTTGTTTTCTTAGATTCTGATATGAGATTCTCTGTTGGGTAAAACCCATGTTGCTTGCAGATGTGAAATCCAGGATGACTGAGGCAGGTGGATGCTTGATAGAACACAAGGAGATGACCATATTTGTACTAAGGGGGACAAGGAGTGGCAGCTGGGGAGATGGCGAAATGCTGTGTGTCCCGTGCGGTCTTTCCTCTTCTGGAATTCTCCAAATCTTCAGTAAGGATGAAATTCTAGAGGTAAGAGTCTTTTCCGTGGTATGAAAAAAGGTACTGGATTATGAACCTGTGGCATCCCAGGTGGGCTGGGAGTGGCTGGGGGGGGTGGGCTAAAAAAAAAAAAAAAAAAGCATGAGAAGCTCCTGTGAGGACTGAAGAAAGGGCATGATTCTCTGCAGGTGAGGAGGCTGCTGGCTAGTTCAATGCCATTTTGGGGGTCAGGTTGGCTTGGGAGTACTCAGATGGCATCTGAGATGTCTCTTATTTCCTGTCTGAAAAATTTAGGGGGCAGAGTTCTGATATGCTTCCTTTTGCTATCTCTAGTTTGATATATGGCATGATAATTGCTGATTTAAATTGAGATATTCAGAGGCAGGTGGTGATTTCATTGCAGAAGTGTATTCTGCTGGACAAATTGTTTCTCTTACTTAGTATTACACAATATAATACTGTAGACAGATAAAGAAAATGAGGCTCAGAGAGAGCGAGTGACTTCCCAAAGATCACATAGTTAAAGTGCCAGAGCTGAGACCTGAACCCAAAGTTCCTTGCTACAAGTCCAGTGGTTGGTTAGTTTTCTGCACCAGGCAGCCCTATGAGTGCTTATAACTCATGTCAGGCTGAACTGGGGGACTCCGGGAGAATGAGTTGAGATACTCTCTATTGTAAACCCCAAAGGAACATTACATGATTTGAGAATATGGGCTGATGCCAGAACCCTCCCCTCTTTCTGACATTCTCTCTGTGAAACATTTTGGGTGTGCACAGGTAGCTAAGTGTTAACAGAATGGCTTTCGAAGCACTATCCAGATCTCACCACCTGGAGCCATAAGAAGCCATTGGTCACTTGGATTATCCAACCACAAGCAGAGCACTCCAGTTTCGTTAAAACTTGAGTTCTTATCTTGGTGCCCATTCCACCCAGAAGACAGTTATTGTGGTTGTTACCTTTCTACTGTGCTGTGCATCGATCTCTACCTTGAGCTCTGTATAGGGTATGTGTTGTTTGTCCTTTTTACAAAGGAGGAAATGGAGCTTGGATTAAATTACTTGCCCAAGTTCGTGCAGTTAGAAATGAAGAGATGCAGAATACAAACCCATATTATTTATTAATCCCAACCCTGTATTCTTAGCTACTATGTGCTATTATGCCTACAAGTAGACGTTTGCTGGTTGAATGGAGTTGAAGAGCAATACAGGAGTAGAGTGGCTAAGGACCAAGTGTCTAGCCCAGGTAGAAATGTGGTAGGAGTCAAGAGAAGAGTAGATGGCCTCAGAGAAATTATCGGCTGACAGGTGACCTCTCCATTAGGTGCAGCACGGAGCTTCTGGTGGGGAGAAGGGAGAAGGCACCTGGGCCTTTCCAGGCAGCCCAAGAAGGATGAGCTCTCACAGGAAAACTGACTTATGATGAACCTGGCCAGACATGGCCAACTCTGTCACCAGCCCTGTCTGAGGTCATATTTCAAAGACTGGCTTAGGGCCACAGGCTGGGATACAGGGCTGTGAGATCATGGCTGAGCAATCTGACTTTTAAAAATATAAGGACCAACTTGGGAGTTTTATCGCATTTCGGCCGCCCAGGCATGAAGTCAGCTGGCCTGCGTGTGACAGGGAGCGTTTCACTTGTAATTAGCTGGGTTTACCCCCCCCCCCAATGTTCTGCCTAGACTGCTAGTGCTGTGAGCTCTCCGCTCCCTGGAGCTACCCCCCAGCAGTAGCGGAGGTGAGTCATAGCCATGAAATCTGGAAAACTTGTAGGGGAATGGAGGGTGGTGGAAAAATATAAATTATTCTGATCGTCTTTCAGGCACGCTTGAGTTAATTATTGCACACTCGCCAGCTGCATTGCACCTTCATCAACACTGAGCCAGAAGTGATGGCTTTAGTGAGGAAAGCAGTTCTCTAATGGGGCAGCAGCCTTAGAAGCCCCACGTTCTTTTGAGGGAGGTTGGGGCCCTTCAATTCCCAGCACCAGCTGGGACCTGTGCGGATTTGCTCTGAGACACTTGGGTGTGAACAGCATCACGTTTTCTGTATTTTTCTAAAGGAAATAAATCTGGCTGGTTCTCCACCTGCCAGGGCTGGCAGAAACTCATTCTTTCTTATGTCTTTTTTTTTTTTTTTTTTTTTTTTTTTTGGAAGAGGATGAGAAGTTTTTTCTTTCTTAGAAACATACAAACCAGGAATTAGACAGTTCAGCAAGTTCTAGGGAAACTTTTTGAACCTCTGGTCCTCTATAGAGTGATATATATATATAATACAATAAAGTTATCTTCAACAGATAATACCACATTTTTTGGCCCATTAATACTTTGCCTCTCTATTTTTCTTCTAATTCTTTTTTTTTTTTGACAGTTTTTTTGTTTTGTTTTGTTATAAGGCATGTGCACTCACCAGAGAGACAGAGAGAGATGGAAAGACAGAAAGTGAGAAATCACCCCCTCCCCCGCCCCCCGGGGAGGATGGCCATGCCACAGTCCCTTCTCCTGAATTTTCCTCTTGGGATCTTGGGCACACATGCACATGTACCTGGCATGAGTTTAAGCTACCAGGTACGGGACTCAAACTGTGGTCGACTACATGGGAATCCAGCGACATAGCTATTATGCCAACTGCTGGTCCCAATATGTAAATCTTATCATGGAGCAATAGCTTTTTAGGTATCTGCTGAAGAAAGAGTACTAGACAGGAAGACTAAGAATTTCTCAAATCACACCATGTTGGAACTAGATGGATTCATTTATTCCATAGTCTTTCAAAGAAGTTGCTGAGTCCTATACCTACTATGTGTGCTGTTGGAGCCAGAGGAGCATTGGGAAGGTCC